GTGTGGGCGGGGCTGCGGGCCGTAGCGCGACCTGCGCCTGAGCCCGTCCGCCAGGTTTGCTCGCGGGCGGGTCTGGATCAAGAGGGGCTTCCCGCGGCCTGACCCCTCTCTGCTAGTCCCCGCGCCGGCCCCATTCATCCGTATCCAGGTCCGGAGCGCGTTCGCCTCCACCGGGGCGGGCGCTCTTCAGAGCTAGGACTTGAGACCCCCCACCCCGCGGGGAGTGCCTCCCGTGGCCTCCAGGGGCGGCCAGGAAGCATCCTGAGGCCGCCCTCTCCCTGCCAGCGGACATCTACGACAAAGTGTCGGGCGAGATTCTGAAGCAGGGCTATGACTGCGAGTGTCTGGGCGGCGGGCGCATCTCCCACCAGAGCCAGGACAAGAAAATCCACGTGTACGGCTACTCCATGGTGAGCCCTGCAGGAGGCCCAGTCCTGGCTGCCAGGCCAGGTGGAGACGCAGCCCTCCTGCGCCCGTTGCCTCGGCCCTCTGGCCCGGTGTCCTGCACCGACTCCCTGGGATTCTCGCGGGCCCAGCCGAAGAGCCTCCCAAAAGGCCCCCAGGCGAGCAGGCTGCACCCTCTCCTGGCCAGAGAGGCCTGGCTGGCTCTGGCTGTCCTCCAGCAGTTTGGACACTGGGCCAGAGGAGCAGTCAGTACGGGGGTCGAGCCGATCCCCACCTACTCTCTTCTCCAAAACCACCAGCAGCCCTCCGAGCCCTCACACAGCCCCCGGCTGCTCAGCTCAGAGGTCCACCCCCAGGGCCTGCTCCCCTGTGGAGGCCGCCTCACCTCAGTGGACCCCAGGGGGAACAGGATGGTGGGTTTGGCTCTGCCCAAAGCCCCCAGGTCCTGCCTGACCCCCTCCCATGCCCTTTCCTGGTGTGGCTGCTGGCTGGATGCCCAGGGCCCAGCAGCCGTCTTCTCTCTGCAGGGCTATGGCCGTGCCCAGCACTCCATCTCCACTGAGAAGATCAAAGCCAAGTACCCCGACTACGAGGTCACCTGGGCCGATGACGGCTACTGAGCCTCCACTGCCTGAGGCCTGCCACCACCAGCAGCCAAGTCAGAGCTCTGCCCCTGCCTGAGGCTGGCCCTGCCCGTTCCTTCCGAGTCCCCTGGCAACGGGCCACCCGGCAGTCCTCGGAGACGGGACAGCCTGGCCTACAGGAATTAAAGGTGTTGTCACACCTGCCAGTCCTGGACTCTGTCTTGGCTTCCCCGCCTGCGCCACGACCCCTGGGGCCCCCAGGCCCTGACTGCCGAAGGTAGGTGGGGGAGTCTTGGGGCACGGCAGTGCACACTCAGCCCTTTGGGGTCCGATAAAGGGGCCCATGGCCACCCTGTTTATGGCCCAATTGCCTTTCCACATGGCTGCTATCCCCAAGGACATCTGGGAGGAGGCCCAGCAAGCCCTTGCGCAAGGAGTCGGTGCCTGGTCCCAGACCCAGGAGCCCACAAGGGCCCCCCTCCCTTCAACCTAACCCAAGATTCCCGGCCGGGAGGGCCCTGGCAAACACGCCCAGTTGGGCTGGCCCTGCCCGTCTGCCCTGAGGCTCAGCCTCAAGCCCCTTGTGACCCAGTGTGAGCTGCCAGCGAGGTCACCAGGCATCTGGGAGCAGGGCCCACAGCCGCACGCCCACCCTGCAGGTCCCATCTCCTCTGAGCCCCCTCCCAGGTTCCTCCCCTTCCTCCCGCCCCAGGTGCCCCTGCAGGCTGTGGGTGGGGCACGCACTCAATGAGTGATGGGGGAGTGGGGCCTGCTGTCGCACGGCACCCTCGCCACTAGCCACGCCAGCCCCTTTGACTGTCAGGTCCTTCCGGCAGCCTCTGAGGGTCGACACCGTCAGACCAGGAAACTGAGGCTCCAGAGAGACAGGCTCTGGGGCCATGCGGTGCTAGATCAAGGCAGAGGCTGGCTCCAAACGCCATGCTCCTCCTGTAGCTTGAAGGGCCTATTTCAACAGGGGTCTGTTCTGCGAGGACCTGAAGCCTCTGGGCTGTGCCGCACATGTAGGGCAGACGATGGGGTGATCATTGCAGCCTGAGTCGCAGGCAGGCGGGAGGGCGGACACCGCACCTTGGGCCCCCAGACTGAGGGTGCAGGGGCGTGCTGGGGCACACATGGAGGAAGACGGGGGCGGGGGGGTTGGAGGGTCCTGCTGCAGCTGCTGGGCTGGTGGCATCTCAGCCCTGACCCTGGCACCAGGGCAGGGCAGAGGCTCTGAGACATTGCCACCTCCCCACCAAGCGGAGTCCTGCCAAGACCTGCCAGTGGGGGCCCAGCCCCTCCCGCCAGTGGGAGCTTCCAGCGGGGGGGGGGGGGGGCTGAGGCCCTGGGCCTGACCTTGGCCTGATGGAGCTGGGCACATGGGAGCTGACTGGTCAGGGGCCCCCTGGGTTGCTTTTACGGCCGCATGCTCACACAGCACTGTCAGCGAGGGGTGGGGCCGGGCAAGGGGCCACAGGGTGGAAGGGGCCAAGCCCCTTCAGGTAGGAGCAGATAACCTCAAGTCCCTGCCAGGCCGCAGAGTGTTGCTGCCACTGGCTCCCTCCAGCCTGACATGCTGCCGCCAGGCCACCTCCTGGCCGCCCTGGCCCTGCTCGTGGGTGAGTGTCCCACTGGGGCAGAAGGCGCAGGACCTGGGACTGAGGTTTGGACCTCCAGAGAAGGCATGGGGACCCAGGATGGGCCCTCGGGACGCAAGAAGGGGCAAGGCTCCTCTCCCTGGCCTGGGATGAGAGGGCCTGGAGGCAGGTCCGGGCGATACACCCTGCGTGGCCCTGGCGTGGCGCCCAGGCGGTGGCTCCCTGCGGGCCTCGGCCCCCCTTGCCTGTCTCCTGAGCTCAGAGTGGGCTGCCCTGGGTCCCAACTGCTGGGGCAGAGTGGGGTGGCAGGTCGCCCTGCTTCCAGGTCACCTGGCTGTCCCCCTGCCAGCCGCAGGGAACTTGGGCTGGGCCTGGGTCCCCACCCACTGCAGGAGCCCCAGAGAGGCTGTGTGCAACTTCGTGTGCGACTGCAGGGACTGCTCAGACGAGGCCCAGTGCGGTGAGCCAGGGCCAGACAGGGAGGTGGGCACAGGGCAGGGCCGGGTGCAAGGCGGGGCCGGATGCCTGACGCCCCCACTCTCCCAGGCTACCACCCAGCCTCGCCCACCCTCGGCACCCCCTTCACCTGCGACTTTGAGCGGGACCCCTGCGGCTGGCAGGACATCAGCACTTCGGGCTACAGCTGGCTCCGAGACAGGGCAGGGGCTGCGCCGGAGAGCCCTGGGCTTCGCACAGACCACACGCTGGGCACCGACCTGGGTGAGGCCAGGGCAGATCCCGGCGTCCACTCCCCTGGCCCCCGCCTCCGGCCCATCTCCTGACCTCTCACCCCGGCCAGGCTGGTACATGGCTGTCGGAACCCACCGGGGGAAGGAGGCGGCTGCCGCGGTCCTGCGCTCCCCCACCCTGCGCGACGCCGCCCCGACTTGCGAGCTGAGGCTCTGGTTCCATGCGGCCTCTGGAGGTGCGCCCCAACCCCGAGACCCACAGGGGGCACCCGAGAGGGAGGTGGGTGGCTCTGGGTGGCTGGCGGGGAGCGCTGGGGTTCCAGCTCCCCAGGGCCTCCGGTGTGCAGACGTGGCCGAGCTGCGGTTGGAGCTGACCCACGGCTCAGAGACGCTGACCCTGTGGCAGAGCCCGGGACCCTGGGGGCCCGGCTGGCAGGAGCTGGCGGTGACCACTGGCCGCATCCGGGGTGACTTCCGAGTGAGCTGGCAGGGCTGGGCGAGCAGGAGCCCGCGGGTCTAGCCCCCAGCTTGGGTCCTAAGGCTGGCAACCTGCAGGTGACCTTCTCTGCCGCCCGAAACGCCACCCACCGGGGTGCCGTGGCCCTGGACGACCTGGAGTTCCGGGACTGTGGCCTGCCCGGTAAGCCCCGGGCTGCCCTGCCTTGTCCAGGGAGCCCTCTAGCCCACCCCCCCCACTCCCCTGTTCAGACCAGCTTGATCCTGGTCCCCAGTGGGCGCCCCCGGGGGCCGGGGCCAGGGTCAAGGGTGAACCCTCCCACCCAGCCCCGCAGGCCAGCTGCCCCCCGGGGCACCACCACTGCCAGAACAAGGCCTGTGTGGAGCCCCACCAGGTCTGTGATGGAGAGGACAACTGCGGGGACCTGTCTGACGAAGGCCCACGCACCTGCGGTGAGGCC